AAACCTTTTACTTTCATTAAACCACAACTTTGGGAACATTCTTGTAATTCACTATGTTGAAAAAGTGAATAAAAAAAATTGTCCATGGACTAAAAACCTCACTAGAAAAATTAATTCTAAAATTATCAGATACTTCAAAAGCTTTTAAAGTAGACGAGGCCAGGTCAGAGCACAGGCCTCATCATATCACTACATTATTTGTAGATGTGAAACTTCAGGCACAGAGAAGTGACAGCCCAACATGTGTGGCACATTCTAAAAAGTAACAGAGACAGTAAAGCAACAAACAGACTGTCAAATTATAGCAAGTAGGTGAGGGAGGGGTGGGGAAGATAAGAGATCAACCGAAGGACATGCATGCATATAAGCATAACCAATGGACGTAAAACTCTGGGGAGGGAGGGCATGTATGGGAGTTGGTGGGGGGGGGAGCTGGTAAGATATGTACACATATAATACCTTAATAAAAAATGAAATAAAAAAGAAATAAAAACTAACAGATCAATTACTGTGATGATAAATGAACACACTCTTCATCTATTACAGGTACAACAAAGGCATTATATTAAACTCAAGAGGAGAACAAGGAAGAGGGAGAGGAGGAAGAAAAATAGGCATGGTAAATTCTAGAGAGGGTGCAGAGAAGTTGGACCCTTGTTGGTGAGACAGAAAACGGTGTAGCCATTGTAAAAGGCAGTAAGGTGTTTTTTTAAAAGCACTCATTGATTCCAAGAAGTGGGTCTGTTAAGTTAAAACTAAAAAATAAAACTGAAATTATGCTATTTCCGTTCACATATTTTACATTCTCTGCCAACAAAGTAAGTCTGCAATACTCAATTTTACTGTTGAAGTAAACACTGAAGATAGCTGTTAAAATAGCAGGAGTAGAATAATAGTTCTCATTCATAATTTAGCAACATTAATGCATTTCAAAAACAAAAGAAAAACCAGACATAACTGGCATCCGATGCCAGAAAAACACACACACAAAAACATGAAAACGTCAGACTTCCATCTAAAGCAAGCTCTGAGTTAGAGCAAATAAATTCTAGACAATATTTTTTTTAAAACATTACCTCAATATTTAATTGAGTATTGCATCTGCCCTTATAAATCACTGAGATTCTTCGAGTCAATTGATGCATTACCATCATATTTTGGATCTTAAATTTTAGAACATGTTAGAGATTTAAACCTTCCATGTACAAACCAGGCTAATTACTTTCTCTGAAAACTAAGTTAAATAGAAGTTAATTTATTATGTTTCCTTGGGAAATTCATATGCTGTAACAGATAATGTGTAAGTACTTATATCCTTTTGTGCTGTGAATATTCTATTCTAAGACCAAATCAGCTCTGATGGCAAAGAAAAAGTAACGTCTAGGAATGAGACTCCAGGAATATGCCCTGTTCAAGAGAAAGTCAGCAATTCATGTGAAAAGAAGTCAGGGGCACCAAAACCGGTTTGACTCAGTGGTAGAGCATCGGTCTGCGGACTGAAAGGTCCTGGGTTCGATTCTGGTCAAGGGCATGTACGTTGGTTGCGGGCACATCTCTGATAGGAGGTGTGCAGGAGGCGGCTGGTCGATGTTTCTCTCTCATCAACGTTTCTGGCTCTCTATCTCTCTCCCTTCCTCTCTGTAAAAATTCAATAAAATATAAAAAAAAAAAAAGTCAGGGGCATCAATCCCACAGGCCATGCCCATAGCCTTTAACTTGCCCATAGCATATAACTTGCAGGCAAATGCCTAATCTTTTAAAAATATATTCTTATTGATTTCAGAGAAGAAGGGAGAGAGAGAGGGAGAGAGAAACATCAATGATGTGCCCTGACAGGGAATCAAACTGTGAACTCCTGGTTCATAGGTCCATGTTCAACCACTGAGCCATGCCTGCCAGGCACTTTCCATATTCTTATAGAGAAATAAAAACTTCAGGGAGGTTAAGGTTTTGTGTATTAAATAATGAAATGTGTGATTTTTTTTTTATATAAAGGTATTTTTCTTCTTGTGCCTCCGTAACAAGGTTCCCAAAGATCAAAAACAAAAACAAAAAACTTCCATTCATTTATGAGTTTAAGCCCAAACTACAAAACTAGAATTAGGAAAAAAAAATCAGAATAATTTAATAACTCTAGGAAAATAACGTTGAAATCGTTGCCTCTATTGTAACCCTGTTGGATGATAGGTTAGAACTGTCAAAGTCTTCTAAACAACGTTTGGTTAACAGAAAAAACAAAGAAACAAAAAAATGCACCTTGATTTTTACCTAGCTACGTGCTGACCTAATTCAATCGTTGTCCAATGATAACTTGAAAACAGCCAATAAATAAAATGTGCCTTTCTGGTTGACTTTCCCTGAAATCTATAATGAATTGCCTTTCACAGCAAGAATATCACATCCAGCTTTGAAAAGAACAATTCCCGTTACTTTTCTCAAGAAGTGCTCTGGATAAACGTTCTTTGGGCTCTCAATGTAAGAAGTATCTTCCCCAGCTTTTAAAATGTATAGCATTAAATATCATATAACTAACCTCGGAAATAAATGGCTGCAACGAGAGAGAAGGACCCTAAGGAGGAACCAGGCCCTGTGACAAGGCCTTTGGGTGTATACGTCCCTTGGCCAAGTCAATGAGAGTAGAAACCCGCTTACATAACGCCGAGGCCACAAGGGCTGCGAGAGCGTGGGAAGACTTGGTCTTAGAGGCATCTTGCATAAGCCTGTCTCCTTCTCTGGAGCTTTTTAAAGGAGGGAAGAGAGAGGCTATGAGACGTCAAAGGTGGTTTGGCTGAAATCCTGCCTGAAGGCTCGACAATAGATTCTATGGCCATTTCAGAATCTGGATAAGAATCCATGATAAGCCCTAGGTGGTTTGGCTCAGTGAATAGAATGTCGGACTGTGGGCCAAAGGGTCCCGGGTTTGATTCTGGTCAAGGGCATGTTCCTGAGTTGCAGGCTCCTCCCTGGAGAGGCCCTGGTTGTGGCTCATGCAGGAGGCAACTAATCGATATGTTTCTCTCGCATCCATGTTTCTCTCTGTCTTCTCCTCTCTCTTCCACTCTCTCTAAAAATGAATGGAATATACCCTTGAGTGAGAATTAAAAAAAATAATAATAATAATCCATGATGATAGGAGAGATTCGGGCACCTTCAACATCTTAGGAGTTCAAATGCCATCGCTGTTTGGCCGCAGAAAGGAGTGGCAGTTCCCATCTTCCTTATCATTATTGCCCTAATTATTATATTATACTTTCACAATTTAATCCCTTCATGTGCCTCACTGCCTCTCTGGGGCTAAGTAAGGACCATGGCCAGTCACCTGCCGAGAGAGCTAGCCGCGTGGCCTCACCCAGTGCGCCCAGCTGCCAACTCAAGCACAGCCAGTTGGGCAAGCCCAGAGTGCTAATCTGGACAGTGACATCTCTGTCTCCTGCTCGGAACCCTTGCAAGTTGCTCGCTCCAATATGGAGCGGAGCTCAGCATATATCAATACATCAATGCCAAGATCAGCCCGGGCCCTGCTCAGCGAGGCTCCTGGTCGCGTTTCAGCATCCGAGGGAAGAACAGGCCCAGAATTCCCACTGCTTTAGCCCAGGGATTGCTCAGTAGCTGCTGCAGAGCTAATAATAGCAAAGCTAGTTGATTTGTTTAAACAACTCTCGGGAAATTGGTTCAAATGCCCAGCTTTCTCTCAAGTCATTTGTTTGAGGAATTTAACCCCAACCCATCAACCTTTGGAAACAACATTGTAATAAAATGTACCGTATTTTCCGGCGTAAAAGACGACACTATGTTCTAATAAAAAGCCTGCTCAGATTGGCCAGAGTCAGAGAGGCGGTCTATTAAAAAAAGAACTGGTGTTGCCTCGGAAGTGGGGGGTAGTCTTATACAGCGAATATAGGCCTAAACCTATGTTTTAACTATAAAAATTAGGGGGTCGTCTTATACACCGGAAAATAAGGTAGATAAAAAAATAAAAGTCCAGCCAGCAAGTGGCCTGGCACACAGTAGGTTCTCAGAAAATATAGGATGTCCCAAAATAATGTATACACACACTTTTAATAATTATAAAGGCAGCGTTTATTAAAATACATTTCATTTTCAAAACTGAGCTACCAGATATTAAAGTGTGTATACATTTTGGGGGAACACCCGTATTTGTTGAGAAAGTGGGAATGTTTTTCATACTGAGAACTTCCTTCATACATCATAATACACAGTATTTGTTGATTTATCCCAAAATATTTGCTTATCTTTATGTACTGGATCCAGAGCTGTGTATTCTAAGTTAACAAAATCAAATCACCAACATTTAAATTTTAGCTAATGTGACCTCAGTATTCTTTTTTTTATTTAAATATATTTTATTGATTTTTTTAAGAGAGGAAGGGAAAGGGACAGAGATTTAGAAACATGGATGAGAGAGAAACATCGATCAGCTGCCTCCTGCATACCTCCTACTGGGGATTTGCCACAACCAAGAAACATGTCCTTGACCCGAATCAAACCTAGGACCCTTCAGTCCGCAGGCTGATGCTCTATCCACTGAGCCAAACTGGCTTTGGCCTCAGTATTCTAACACGGTGGACAATGACTGGTTAGGACCCAAAGACCGGAAGTATGCTTCATTACAGACTTTTGCAGTTTTATAAATAGGCTAAAGTGATGTTTCCAGCCTAGCTCGTGTTGCTCAGTAGCTGAGCACTGACCTATGACCCAGGAGATCATGGTTTGACTCCTTGTTGGGGCACATGCCCAGAGTTGTGGGCTGGATACCCAATAAGGGGTGTATAGGAGGCAGATCAATGATTCTCTCTGATCATTGATGTTTCTCTCTCTCACTCTCCCTCTTTGAAATCAATAAAAACATATTATTTTTAAAAAAAGATAGAACTGAGACAATGAAACTTGATGAATGAGGATAAGAACTAGGGAAACCAACCGACCAACCGTCACATGAGGTTGGAAGAGGGCAAGAGATCCCCAGATGCCACACTAACCTTGGATCGTCCTCTTAAAGAACGCCTTGCAGGCTTCACACGACGCGACCCCGTAGTGGTACCCAGAGGCGATGTCCCCGCACACCAAACACAGTCTCTTGGGCATGGAGTTGAGCATGTATTCACACTTGGTCTGGGGGTCTTCCACAATGGTGCTGGAGCAGTCGTCATACAGTTTCCTGACAGGCCCACTGCCTCCGAGGATGGGGGCGGAAGGGTAGAGAGGTGGCGAGTCAAGTCCGTTCTGGTGGCCATTCATGGTTGAACTGTAGCTCCCGCTGGCGTCCGAGGAGCCACCTGGGCTGTGGTGGTTGACGCTGTCCGTCAGGGAGGCCGGACTGGAGGGTTCCGTCTTGATGAAGGACGAACAGCTGGAATCAATGTGTCGATCTTTGTTTGACATTCTGCAGAGAAGCCTGGGATTCAGGGAGAGAGAGAGAGAGGGAGGGAGAAAGAGAAGGAAAGAGAGTCAAATACAGCCACCAAAAGAGGCAGAAGCAAAGAGAAGATTAAAAAAGGAAATAGAGAAAGTGAAAGAGAAGAATAAAAGGAGGAAAAACAAAGAATTCAAATCTTAAAGACATTGCCCCTTGTAAGACCTAGAGATTTCCCATCATTCATTCTCTAGTCAATACCTCCTGTTCTACAGGAAGGGAATCAGCATAAGGCCATGACAGGGCTACATATAAATGCCTAGGCAGCACATGAACAAAATGTCTAATGGGTCCAATTCCTTTAACTGTACCTTTCTCTTGGCGAACAACAGACAAGAGCTAAATCAACTCTCTAGACTAAATGTACCATGGAAGAGGAGTGATCTGCAGAGTCCGAATCATGTCTAAAACCGCATGTATTTTCACTCTACTTTTCCCTCCCACTGTCCGATCCTGCAACCATTTTCTTATGAATAGAACCAAAATTTCATTGTCAAGACTAAACTGATGAGTCTGTGGCTCTGTAATTGGTATTTGTCAGCCCTCTTCCATGAGCATAGCTGTTTTTTGTTTTGTTTTTTATTGATCTAAGACATGTAGAAAACATATCCTCAGTCACTTTGCTTCTTTATCCAAATGGTTCTATTTCACAGACATGAACCACTGTAGAAAGACATCAAGTATAAAATTTTAGCTGATGTTTAAGGGTTGCTTCCTGGAGCCCACAAATATTAGTGAAATGATGACCAGCACTGATGAATAAATATGTTTGTGTGTTTTTGTGATGTGCCACTGTTGGAGTGATGAATCAGTAAATACCATTTGAGCCTATTATATACCTATGCCCACATCCATAAATCTGATACTGTATATTCAGCAAAATAAGAAAGTATCAACTTTTGTGATGGGGGGGGGGGAAAGATTTGTGATGGTCCCCTTTTGTCCCCATTTTTTGTCTTTTAACATGAAACCTCCCGAAAACAAATGTGGACATCTATGGCTACAAACTCTCTTATCTAAAAGGAACACCCTGCCCATCTTCCTTAGCTGGGCCCATAAGCGATCCAGTTTCTGAAAAGGTAATTAGATGAAAAGATATAATGGGTCCTATTTTCTCCCGGCTCAGTCATAGTGCAAAACCCCTTTTAGCAAAGTCCCTGTGAACCTTCGGAGAGCCCACTATAGGAAGGAGAGGTGACAGTTGAGAAAGGGACTTAGATAATTGCTTCCCAGTGGAAAGTTGATTTATGGGAATCCCACAGAGTAATGGTCACTCGCCAGAATTTGGGGGAGCAGCCAAATGAATGCAATTATCTCCTTCACTATAAATCCAGTCATGTTTGATCACTGCACAGATTTCATGCTCTCCTCCACACCCCTCCCCCACTGTTCTGTTACTCTAAAGTGAACAAAAATATGCCCTAGACAGGATAGCTCAGTGAAGAGAACATTGGCCTGCAGACTGACAGGTTTGGTTCCCAGTCAAGGGCACATATCTCTGTTGCAGACCATCCTAGTAGGGGAATGCACGGGAGGCAACCAACCGATGTGTCTCGCTCACATCAATGTTTCTCTCTCTCTCTATCTCCCCCTTTCCCTTCCACTCTCTCTAAAACTCAATGAAAAAATATCCTTGGGTGGGGATTTACAAAGACAAAAATAATAATAAAGTGAACAAAAATATAGAATTTTCTATCAGGAAATGTTTACTATCCCAAGAAGACCATCTCAAGAGCAAGCATTTGCCTATATATATATATCTCGCACCTTGGACATTGCATTCTGCAGGATGAGGACATAAGAATAGCACATAGGAGAGAGAAGCCCCCCCCCCAAAGACCTTGATTGCTGCCTACCCACTTATGTTGTCCTTTCACAAGAACCAGAAGGAAGAACAGCCCCCTCACCAGCCTGCATGGTGCCCGCTCCCCCTGCATCTGCGGCCTGTGCCGTCACTGCTAACGAGCGCTGTAATTAATAGCTCGCTCTCCTGGCTCCCCGCAAGCACTCGGGGCAAAGCACTTTTCCTCGAGTCAACGTTTGAAAGAAAGCGGGTCGGCGCTGACTTACAACAGCCCTGCAAATCCCTTTTAATTTAGAGTGCTTACCCCACCACACTCCACTCATTACCTTATAATTACTGGACTCTTCGCACATACATTACGATCTGAGACCAGAGTTGGAAGTTATTAGGGTATTAAAACATGGCTGTTCCCTCTCCTCTCTCCGGCTCTGAATTTCTCACAGCTATGACAATTAACTCTTTCAAAACTGCCCGCCAACACCAAGTCTTTTTTTTTTTTTTTTAACTATATTTTTATTGATTTCAGAGAGGAAGGGAGAGGGAGAGAGAGACAGAAACATCAATGAAGAGAGAGAATCATTGATTGGCTGCTTCCTCCACACAACCCAGGCATGTGCCCTGAATAGGAATCAAAATGTAACCTCCTGGTTCATGGGTGGATGCTCAACCACTGAGCCAAACCAGCTGGGCTTAATGTATTACTTTAATTTTAATTATTTTAAGTGGTCCATGGTTCTTTTCAGACATGAACAACCTCCTGCATGTACATCTTTTGCCCAATTAAAATCATAATAGCCACATTGCCATGTATCAAGTGCTTGTAAGGTGCCAGGCACTAGCTGAGCACTTCACAAAACAGAACCAGATTTAACCCCCAACCTCAGGTCTGACTCCAAAGCCCAGGGCAGCCATGTCTGATGCCAACAGACATTTTAAAGGTGTGGACTGATTTCTTAAAAATGGAAAGCTATTCCATCCTCAGCTCAACCATGAGCAAAAAGGGGCTGTAGGAGACAGCACACTGGCTTGGGGGGCGGGGGGAGGGTAGTCCCTGTTCGGCCCCCTCTCCAGGGTGGTAGCGAGGCCTAAACAAAATCTCTAAGAGAGCACAGCTGACTCCTAATGACTCCTTAGCTCATTACACTGAACACTTCCTCGGCACCATTACATTATCCGCGAGAACCACAGCGGGTCTTAATTCTCTCCCTCTCTGTCTCGGAGATTCTATAGCTCTATTATTCAAGCCTGAAATATTCACAACTATCTATAAATTCAATTGTCAGCCGGTGGATTTTATTCTAGACTTCACTTCAATCTAAAATTAGAGGCACTAAAATTCGCATTAACTCTAAGAGGAATGTAGTGAATAAGACTTTATTTCAAAAGAACACCTTTTTGTCAGAAAGAGCCATTTTCAAGATGATGGCTTTATCTGCAGCCAAAGAGAATAAGCCCAATTCCACATTGTGCTGTTAACGCAGAAATTCCAGGTCACATTGGATTAATAAAAGCCTGAATTTAGTTAAGAATTACGCATAGAAATTGCGTGCTGAAAACTGTGGGAAATATTTATTTTAAAGCCTTAGTATAGTTGCTTTTATTTTAAGAGAAATGATGAGCCCTGGTCGGGTACTTTAGTTCGTTAGAGCATCATCCCAATATACCAAGGTTGTGGGTTCGATCCCTGGTCAGGGCACGTACGAGAATCAAACCAATAAATATATAAATAAGTGGCACAACAGATGGATGTTTCTTTCTCTCTCAGATCAATTTTTAAAAATAAAATGATGAATAGCACAAGGGAATAAGACCGATTTTCTTAAAACCTTCTCTGAGCAAATACCCTGAAATCAAACCAGGGGGGGAAATAATGTTAAAAAAAAAAGCAACAGCAAATGTTTAGTTTCTGTATAAGAAACTATGTTTGAGGGGTTTAAAAGCCTTCTCAAGACCAGGGAAATAAATGTCAGTGCTTTGAAAAGCATTTTCAGCAATTTGAGCTAAGTCACAAATAATTCTGATTTCCATGTTTCATCCTAGAAACTCATTGCCTAGCCCTGCTTAAGGGTCCAAAAAGGTAAATTTTATATTTGGTGTTAGACACTAAAAATTAGGCAAATAAAGCTTCTTGGTGCTGGACCACATGAATGTGTAATTTTTGAAAATTAATGGTGTATCTATGTGTGCCTGTATAGAGAGAAAGAAAGAATAAGAATCAAAGATAAGCTGTAAGTGAATATTCAATTTATATTATAATCATCAAGCAAGCTTAATTGTTTTCAGAGCCTAGTTAGATCCAGGTAAATGTGTGATTTTGAGTGAATTACAGTGAATTCACTCAAAATGTGTTTTGGGGTCCCATTATTTCCCACATGGAACTTAAGCATAGCCAATATTTTAATTGTCAAATGCTGGAATATTCCACTGGCTTATATATTATCCCAGTCATCAAAATATAAATCCTTCACAAACAGCTATATTTCACATAAAATTCAAATTTATTTGCTACTTTTGTTCCCAACGTAAAAAATGGTGCATAAAATTCTCTTAAGAAACGTATATACAGGCCTTCTTTGGTCCTCCTGATTGTAACAGGAGGCAAAGATTTTTGAAACTTTTACTAAATCAGGGACAGACACCTGAATAGACTCAATGAATGACAACTAAACAAGTCACTCTTTTTTTTCTCTTTCTTGTCACCCTTAAGGGCTAAAAAAGGTACCTATCCTTATAAATTCCAAACACACTGTCAGTTTATATTCAAAAATTGTATTCAAGTTTATAAATACAAAAAGAGAAAGGGGAGAGAGAGAGGGAGGGAGGGACGGAGAGAGAGAGAGAGAGGAGTGGGAGGAGGGAGAGAGATAAATAGGGTCCTTAGCACCCTCACTGAGTTATAGAATACCAGAAGGGTACAGATTCCACACCTAATCACTAGGCTTATCTATTCACAGTGGGAATGAATCTAGGAGCATTGGATTCAGAATCTTCCATTTTACCTTCTGAAATCGCCAGATTAATGATTTAAGTAATTGTGTTTTAAGTAACAATAAATCTTGAATTAATTAATTCATTTGTTTTCTTTTCATGTTTTTTTTTTTTGGGGGGGGGGGAGGATGGGGGGCAGGTAATTCCCCAAGACTGAGGAGCGAGGCCCACGCTACAGAGCCCAGGACCT